AATTCCAACTGACGGTTTCGCAAATCAAAATTATAGTTTCTCAAAGCTATCTTGAAATGGCATAGAGGATGACCTACCGGAACTAACTAAGATATGATCGTGTTATTTTCAAGCGAATTCTTGGGAAGTATGTTGTGTTTGGGTCGTCGACTGAAAAGCTCCATAGCACTCGGTTGGGGTCTTCCAAACGAAAGATTCTCAGACCGAGGTCTGAAATAACCGCAAACGTACGCATTGCTGACGCACTTTAATTTGAGGGAAACAAATATCCGTGGATATTTACTAGTGATTCCATCTAATTCACAAATAGGACGTATTAAACCTGTGAGGTACTAATAATGAAGTCCCTAAGGATATGACCCAATCTGGATCAGTTTCTGAACCTTGGAATCTATGAATTCACATGAACTAAACGATCTGTTCAAGGAGAAATCTTCCGTTAGATAGACTATCTTGTTTGTGTCTGTGTTTTCTTGGCGTACATCACAGTGACAATAGAAAATAGAAAAAAGACGGGATCATATATACGTTCTTAGCACAAGAGATGACTAGATAATAAATCCAAACCCGGGGAAATCGTTCTGTGACATTCCGGTAATCCTTCATATCAATGTGATCTCACGGTGTGTCTGAGATGTGTAGTGTTGTGGCAACCTGTTTCTTTACTCCTGCTCGGTTTCTTATCTGATCAGAGTGCACAGGATGGGACAAACTTTGAGAATGATGAGCGACATTACTTGCCATGTTTGATAACGATATCTAGCTTGAGGCAGATGAGGATAAGAACAAACGACTGTGAGTGTGTATAAAAGGTAAAATGAAAGTTTGGGGGAAGTCAAAAATATTTCTTAAATCATGTACAAAAATACTCTTTTATGAATAGGTGAAGAAGAACCGGAGAACCACAATTTGTGAGAAATTTTCCGTTGGACTTGTGCAGGAGTTTGACAGAGGTGGGTGTATGTGTGGAGTTGGTGCTGCTACTGCTGCTGATGGTGATGATGTGTGTAGTGGTACTGAAAAGAACGAAGTTTCTGAACAGGTAATGATAATGGACCGGTTTGGTCGAGTGCACGCCACGAAAAAAAGAAAACATGAGGGGAATGCGAAACGAGAAAAAAAGAGAATAACAAACCGGGACATAAAATCTTTATTGTCTCATCTATTATTTGTCTTCATGAAAAGCATCATTGACTATCTCTTAGTTATAGTTTTCACTATCGGTGTTAGACGTATAGTCCAGATCGATTTCGGTGTCACTGATGTCGTCTGTCGTCTGTGATATCTCACCCTGTTCCATTTGCATACGGGTGAAATTGACAAACATTTGATCTAAGGTAGTTTGTCGAACCGAATAGTGTTCTATCAATCGAAGCATTTTGAATTTGTTCAACAATGCAAACAAACGAGAGAGTGGTATACCCTGATCAAACTGATACTCATGGCAGCGTGTTTGCGTGTTGTGCACCTCCACATTGGTGAATTCGGCTCGCATAATTGCGTGTATCTGATCTCCGACATGGGATCGATTGGTGATACGTAACTCGGCAATGTATCCGTTTCCGAAACGTTCTTTCAACTGTTGCACGGTGCCAAAACATCGAAATTGTCCGTTCACCATAATCCCCAATCGATGACACAATGCTTCACATTCTTCCATACTGTGTGATGTGAGAACAATCGATTTCCCATTGTGCAGTAAATCATTGATTTGATCCCACAAAAATCGTTTCCCGATCGGGTCCATTCCACTGGTTGGCTCGTCTAGAAAAATCACTTTAGGTTGGCCTAGCAGAGCGACAGCCGTGGACAATTTACGCCGATTTCCTCCCGAATAGGCGCCGGCAATCTTATCCGCATGCGGAGCCAAACTCATGTCAATCAACAGCTGATTGACAACGTGGTTCAATTCCTTCTCCGGCACACCCCGTAGACGTGCGTACAAAGTCAGTGTTTCTCGACCGGTCAGCAAATCCAAGAGGGCATCAAATTGGGGACAAAATCCAAGACTGCGATGTGCTTGTTGTTTTTGATCGACCACATGATACCCGTTCACATAGGCATCACCCATTGTTGGATTCAAACAACCTGTGAGGATACGGAAGGTTGTTGTTTTTCCGGCTCCGTTCACTCCCAACAGACCGAAACATTCGGCTGGTCGGACTGCAAAGGTGAGCCGATTCACTGTGGGTTTCTTTTTTCGACGGAAAAATTTGACCAGTCTGAGTGTACTCACTGAACTGCCTGAGCGCAAATTTCCAGATTCCTGCAGCTGAATCAAGAATAGTGTGAAGAGAGTGGTATGAGTGAAAAATATTATGAAAAAAAACAATTTTTCAGTTGTGATCAAATAGAGCATAATCTCGCAATAGAAAGCGAAAATCACTGGATTTTTCAATTCATTGATCTTGAATGTACAATTGATCGCATTAGGTCCAGAGATCAATTAATATGATTTTTACAGTTTCCTTGTAGAAGATCACCGTTTTTTAAGCGAGCGTGTTCAGTAAACCGTACGACCACATAACCAGTGGTTATGTTACCGGCGTGAACAATATATATCAAGCTCATGGAAATCACCAGCAATTTGAAGCTGAATGCTAACCTGGATCCACACCTTCGGAGCATTTTTACTGGAGGATACCGTATTATCTATTTTTATTCCTGTAACTAGCTTGACCAGTGCTTGCCTGAAACCGTGTGTCTCAATGCGTGGGAACAGGTGTTCATAGAACTGACATAATAGCTTTACGAGTTTGGTTTTCTGTCAATCACTATCGAAAATTAAGTATTGTTTACCCAAGAAATATGTTTTTAATTTATTTAGTGGTCAAATTAAATAAAATATCTGAAGTTTAAATACATTTGACTCGACAATGGCGTAGTATCCAGAGAAATAGGAAAATCCTGTATTATTACTCGGTTGGAATAGCACAATTACCGGTTCATGAGGGTGAATTGGTCGATCTATCTTGTAATAACTCGATCGATCCCATCAACGGAGAGCAATTCCTGTCGGGCTTGTCTATTCTCGCTTGTCCATTCTCACTCATTCACATCATTCACCAAGTACACACCTTTAAAAGTGGCAGTTTGTGAAAAGATCACAAAATGCGCTGGAACCAAACATACTCATTTC